CTAGATGGGAGACGTGACTGGGATTAAGTTTGTACTAAGTTAAGCCCTTACTATGGAATTTGTATCAGCTATTCTAGGAAGTATGTCTTGATAGGAAACTCTGAGTTGAAACGAGATGGTGGGGCCCCTCAGAGCTATAGAAACAGCCAAACACTGCACTCCCCTGACCAGGACCCTGTCCCTTCCAGCTACCAACAAAGGGTCATGCTGACCTGTGGACACAGAGAGGCAGAGACTCATTCAGGGAAACCTCAGCTCTCCAAGGGTGCTTGATCAGTGTTGCAATGTGCTGTGGCCCTTTAGTGATGAGGTGGTTATTTATCTGCAGCTTGCAGTGTAGGGAGTGTGCTGTATCAAGTGTACAGAGCAAACAGAAAGCTCCTGGCCTCTGAAACACTGGCAGTTGAGAAAGCGAAGATTCGATTCACTGAACAGTGCCACAGAGGACAGTTTGTTGTGCTTTCTTTGAAACTCGCCCCCTCCTTTCTATCTCTCTGTTACCACCTTCATTCAGACTCTCATGGTTTCTCATCCAAACTGGTCTGCCTGCCTCCAGCTTGCCTCCTCTCGAGCCCATGGTCTGTGTGTCAGCCACAGTGAGCTTTGCAAAACACCAGCGTGGATCTAGGCTTTCTTGCCCTTAAATGTCTGCTGGCTCCCCTGTGCAGGAGACAGTACAACCCCCAAGACCTTTCATAACTTTGTCTCAGCCCCCCTTCCCTCCTACTCCAAGAATCTCAGGCTCCAGTTACACTGAACAACTCGCTGCCCACACCTCCCCGCAGGCAGCTCGCAGCCAAGTTTATTCACACGTTTATTCTTTTCACTCCGGGTAAATGAGGAATTGGGGATTGACCATGCCCTTTTAATTTCTAGGGAGTAGTCTCTTGGATTGATGGAATTACAGCATGAGAGAAGCAAGAGCATGAGGCTCAGAGGACCTCAGGCAGACCCACCTACACAACCATCTACTCGGAGCAAATCTCATAAATCAATAGGTCTACTAGGAAAGATGTTTGCATGGAGGTAGTTAGCTGATCTGATGATTAAATTGCCTCTACTGGCACATCATGAGTCAGTTTTAATTGTAATTTTTTTGTATATTGCATTCAGAGGATGGTTGTGATGAGCAGATCAAGTCTTAAAAGAATCTTGGTCCCTGGGATCCACCCCTTCCTGTTTCCTTCCCCTAGCCCTCCCTCCACATTTACCAATTGAGGCAGATGTGTCCTTTCAGGGATCAAATGGTGAGATGGCAATAATTTAGAAAATGTTTTCCCATTGCCCTCAGAAACTGTTCTATCCAAGGCAAACCAACAAGGCCCTGGGACTTAGGATAGGAGGAAATGACATGGTAAATGTGAGAGGAATAGCAGCCCTGATTCTTGAGGGGGTAGAGATATAGGGGTGAAGGGGGGTTAAGTGGACCATGTGGTTTGCTGCCATGAACTTCTGGAGGCAGAGGTTGTGTCTTATTTATCCTGGTGTCCCCTGCAGTGCCCTCCCAGGACAGTGGCTGGCACGTGATGGACCCTCACTCAGCTATTCAACAAATATTTACTAAGTGGTAGAGGGTTTGTTTGTCCAGATTTGGAGTTTTAAGCTTGTCAATAACAGCTGAATTCTTTCTCTGTTTTGTCATCTGCACTTTTGGACTCTGAGTCCGACCTTGTCTTTCGAAGCTTTTTACAATTCTCCCTCTCCCCCTTCCTCAGCTCACTCCAGGATTCTACATACAGTCGGTGCTCAGCAAATATTTGCTGGGGAGGTGGAGGAGAGAGAGGAAAGAGACAGCTTAACAATAAGCCACACAGGAGGTAGGTGGTCATTCCCAAGCCCATCTTTGAAACTGGAGAATCTTCTTAGTCTATTGCCGGAGCATTTTTCCAGAGCTTCTTGCCTATGTGATGACCTGTTACCTTTGGTTTCTTTCCTGTGCCGGCCACATTTGTCACCAAAGCTCCTCAGTTTCCCCACCTGATAAGAGAGAACCCACCTTACTTCTTTCCTCCCTCTGTCGCATAGATATTCCTGCTGGACCCTGAGGATACACAGGAGGCACTGTGGGTGCTCAGAGTTCTCGGGGAGCTCAATCAAGTGGGGAGATGGATAGACGGATAGACCATCACAAGCAGGGCAATTAACACTTCTGGAGTTGAAAGCAGAGGCTTACCCTTAACCTATGATAAGAAGAAAAGAGAGGCAGTCTCATGTGAGATGACCTGAGACTTCAATCTTGAATGAAGAATAGAACCTAGTGGAAGAAAGAGGGGAGGGGCATTCCAGGCAAGGGGAAACACAGATGAAAAGGCAAAGGAGAGGCAAACACGGAACTAGGACAGGTTTGTCTATGTGACTTATCAATTCCATCTCATTGCTTTATACTCTACCCATTCACCTCATATCAAGTGAAATGATGCAGCCCTCAGGCATTTTAGTAAATTTAGATAGGCCATCACCTAATCTCTTCAGGAGAAAGGCATTGATAATGTGGGCTACCCACGAGATTAAGCATGTTCTTGGGTGAAAGTGGGCTTGAGTACTTTTAGGAAATCATGTGGGAGGCTGATGAAAATCAGGCTGTTGATGTGAAATGTAATCAATTTTATCTTTATTCTCTTTCCTGGTTGTTGGAGAAGTTGGAATCTTTTGCCGTGAGGGGAGATGAACCTATGGGTTCTCTTAGTCTAAGAACAAGCTGGAGGAAGAGGACAGGGTGATTCCAGGAATTTCAGGAGGAGCCAGGCCCACTTTGCAAGTCCACTTCTGGACCACACCTGTGCATGTCCAACATTTTCAAAACATTTTATGGGATTCTCCCATTCCTAAAATGCAGCACTGTGAAGAAGAACTGAGGCGAGGAGGGCGCCCCTCTCGGAGCGTGGTTTATTTCTGTTCACAGAACCTCTGAAGACAGGAAGCCGAGGCTGACCTCTTCAGTCAAGAGTCAGCTCAACTTTAAAATGATTGCATGTGAAAGCTAAAATGGGAAAGAGAAAAAATCAGTTCTCAGGACAGAAATGCTAAAAACCCTTGTGCCACATTCCACTCAAGGTCCAGGCCCTGCACACAGAGCTCCCACTGGGGGGTGGGTGGGCGGGAGAAAAGCCAAGACCAGTCCAAATAGGTTGAATGTCAGGGATAATGCGGTTTATTCTAGAGGTGTCCAGCTTGCAGATAAAGAAGGTACCAGGGTGATTGTGCTACATAATCCTTAAACAACAGAAGCTCATGGCCAGGTCTCATTGTTGAGAGAGTTGCCTGCCAAAACATTTACCCATCCCCAGTGAATTATTTGTAGTAAAGGAATCAGAGGAATAGAGAATGTTTTAGTTTCCTACAGGCTGCCATAACAAATTATCACACACTGGCTGGCTAAAGACACGGAGATTTATCCTTACACAGTTCGGGAAGCTGGAAGTTCACAATCAAGCTGTCGGCAGGACTGGTTCCTATCTGAGGCTCTGAGGAGTGCACCTTCCATACCTTCCTCCTAGCCTCAGTGGTTGTGGACAATCCTTGGTGTCTCTGGCCTGACCCACAGCGGCATCACTCCAATCTCTGCCTTCACGTGGCTTTCTCCTTGTGGTGTCTATGTCCAGATTGCTCCCTAATTATAAGGACACCAGTCATGTGATTAGGGCAGACCCTAAGCTAGTATGAGCTCATCTTAGCCACTAAGACCACAAAACCCTTGCTTTCAACTCTGTTCATGTTCACAGCTATGGGGGCAGGGTTGGTCAAGACCCCAACATGTCTTTTGGGTGGGCACAGTTCAACCCACAGCTGAGTGTGAAACAAAAACAGCCCCCTGGGCGAGACAGGGGAAGACCTGGCTATCCAACCTGCTGCCTCCCCAGTGGGTTAACCTGGGCAAGCCCCTTATTCTAAGTTTCAGTTCTCCTCTAAAGCAGAACAATGCCTGCCCTGCTTACTTCAGAGATGCCATGAGAATAACATGAAATCATGCACAGAAAAGTATTTTCTAAGGCAGAGTGTTTCTCTAAGTACAAGGGCTTATTATTGAATTAATTCCCTATTATACTGATTCTCCCTTAACTTTGTAAATACTTAATGACTAGGTAATGAAATGAGAAACACAGCCTGTCTTATAGGGAAGAGAATGTAAATTACAGCATCCCTTCATTTACGGTTTGACATAAAAGTACAATAGCCATCTGAAGTGAAGGAGAGTAGCATTGGATAGCCTTCTTCCCTAAGCTTTTGTATTCATACTAAAGCAGGGTGGTATTCAGGTAAAACTAATGGGTGGAAAACAGTCAAACTAAGAGGGTCTATGAGACACCAGCAGATGACTCCAATGGCAGTGGCTCCCCATCCCTGTGTGCCCGTGTGGTCCATAATATTATTTGCTCCCGTGACAATGTCCCAATGATAGCTTTGAATTTGCCTGATGTCATTTCTGGATATGAGGACACAGACCACCCAACTAATAAAATCAGCTAATGCCGTCATTTTCCTGGACTAATGTGACATACTCCCATATGAATTGCACAAAACAGATCTATTATGTTTTAGCTAGGGAAAAAAAAATGTTTTTTAATGAAAATCTTAAAAAAAAAAAGGCTCTTCTCTTTTAAAGAGGCCTGAAGCTCTGGTGGTGAAAGGGAAACTTTGTTCAGGCGACCAGATTAAGTCAAAGGGGTTTGGAAAGTCTATTTAAACATGGCCACACATATAGGAAATGCCAAAAAGAGGTGTCATGGATGACAGCTTGAGAACTACAGTTATGTCCAAGAAGTATGTGACCACTTGAGTGTTACTGATGACCACAGTAGTGATAAATTCTGTTGACCTTGGACCTTGGGGGTTTGCTGACCCAGGAGAAATCCCAGAGGCGAAAGACAGCACCAGCTAGAAAGAAACAAAGGGGCCCTCAGTTCTCCCTGCAAACCGAATTCTCTGTTTCTCACTGCTGGGTATGTGTACTTCCCGAGGGCCATCACACACCTCCAGGAATATGCCACATCACACACCAGTTAATAAACAAAACTTTTATTTCCTTTAATACAAAAATTAAATAGCAAAGTTTATTTTTTTTGTACAGTGATAAATTAGAAATTTACAGTACAGACATCAATGCAGACATACGCTTGTACATCTTTAAAAGCAGGGTCCATTTTCTTTGATGTTAGCAATTTGTTCAGGGCATGTGTAGCAGGGGTTTGCCTGGTACCTCTTTGTCAAACACCTGAAAAACCCCCAGGTTGGCCTCCAGGAGGCTGGAGCTGCAGGCTGGCATGGGGATCCACAAGGGGCCACCGAGTGCTGGCTTGACTGCAGGCTGAGTCACTTTTCATCTTGTCATGGACCACGTGTGATTATTCCACTTTTCCTACAAAGAGCTCGAGAGGCCTTCATCCCCATACCTTCTCAAGTCTCACAACATCTCTGTGAGGTAGGAGAAAATCCAGAACCACCTAGATGCCCCTCTGGGAGAGATGTAGAAAGCAGCCTCTCCCTCCCAAAGCCCACAGCCAAGCCAGAGCCCCAGCCCAGGAACAGGATGTGGACCCAGCCTTCAGGGCCCAGAGCTGCTCTTGTCCCTCTTCCCAGAAACCTTCGGGGGTGACAGTGGTCATGTATTGAATATTGTAGGAGATCAGGGAGCTACAAAAGCTTGGAGGACACAGCTCATACAGGACCTCACACAGGCCCTCTACAAATTGCCTGGGTGAATACTGGATATTTGCTGGTGCAAAGAAGAAATAGAAAGAAAAGAAGTAAGGCAAATCAGAAACAGAAACAGGCTATGATAGGGCAACGGGGCTTATAAGGGGGAGAGGCCTGTCAGGGTTATCTGGGTTCACTTCCCTCCTGGTACTGTCCAGTGTGCCAGTCCTGCATATACGCATGGCAGAGAGTTCTGCCCAGGCCAGTGAAACAAAATCCATTCTGTAAAGCTCTGGTATCTGACCCCTGGTAGGAGCCACATGCTCTTCTAGGAGTTTCCAAGATCTGTGACCTAGGTCCGGAGGAAAAATGGTTAACTTGGGTCCTTTGCCAGGTACAAGACAAACCCAGACATGGACTCTGAACCCAAATACAATAAAGGAACAAAAAGAAGTGCTAAAGTCCAGTGACTCATTGTAACTGGCTAGAAGAGCAACTCCCTCCAATCCTTTCCATCACAGAATAAGATTCAGGATGTAGATCAATTCTGGGGGCTCCTTCCCAAGTCTGTGCTCTGTGGCTCTCTTCTCTAACTGCTGTGATGGCCACCTCACCAGAAGCCAAAGATTGCACTATCGTGGGGAAATCCCCTTAAATTGAGTCTGCCCTTCAGGGCTGAGGCTGACTGTCAAGCTCCTCTTTGCATCCTCAGGTTCTAGCTTGCTTCCCAACAGGGTAAGCACTAAATTCAGTGACAGGAAGCTGAGGAGGGCCAGAGAAGATAGAGCTAGGGGTGCTGGAATAGTCACAATTCAAAACCTAGAAGTTTCCTGGATTCTAGGTTAGGTGGGTGCAGGCGAGAGAGTGACCTGGGAAAGGAGAGTCAGAGAGCATCTCAGGGAAATAAAAAGTGTCACCTCTTCTCCAATTTCAGGTCCCTGAGAAGCAGTCTCAGAGATCAGGAAATAGGTCTCCATAAAGGAAAAAAGGATATGAATTAACCGAGTAGCTCAACCAGTGGTTCTGACCAGTTTCACCCTACTCCATGTCCCTCTGCTGTGAGGTGTGACCTTTATGAAGGAGGAGAAAGGTGTTTGCTGGGGAGAAGGCCAGACAGAAGTGCCCTTGGGCCCTATTAATAAAATCTCTGGTGGTCACGGGATTTTATAGGAAGCTACCATCCTACCTACTTATTCTAGATTTCAGAGAAAGAAAAACAACCTAACCTCAAGAGGCTATCTTCAAAGTCACCTGTACAAGTCACATGGAACACCCAAGCCCTGAACTGCCTGCCTGCAAAGCCATGTTAGATGTGGGCACTCATGTGGGAGGAACCCCTATAGCCAGTTTTCATAGTCTTCTTATTCCATGGAGAAAGCCATGAAACAGGGCTGATGCTTTCTGTGAAAACCCCAGTAATTGATTTTCAGGGAACTCTGGGAAGATGTGTTAAATGAAAGATGTGTTAAAGGTAGAAAGTCCCAACAAGAGATTTTGGGATGGAGACAGTGAAACAGATGGTGATTCAGAGGACCCTGCTTCTTCCCAAAACCAACAGAAAAGTTCAAAAGACCTAAGAGCATCCCTGGTCTAGGTCTATCAGACCAGAGCTTATCCTCTGTGACATCCCCTAGGCACCTAACACAGGGCCTTACACACAGTTGGTACTCAATAAATGTGTTGATAATTGACTTTTTAAAAACAAAACAAAACAAGTACATACTTAAGAAGTAGTGGAGTCACTTCAAGGTAATTGGTAACTGACTCCTCAGCCACAAAGCCCCTTTCCTGAAACCATAAACAGTCTCCATTGTCTGGAATGTGAAAGGAAAGGACTATACCCCTGTGACATCGCTAAGGCTACTAATCCAGTCTGTATGACAGCCACTTCAGATGGAGGATACTTCCCCCTAGGAAGGCAAGAGATTGCTGGGAGACATGTTAAAACCCAGGGAGGCTAGCTCCAGAACTTGGCCTTCCAGGTTCACCCAACTACTTTTATGATTGTTACTATTTCATCATTCACAAGTACTGAGCAGCTGCTATGTGCCTGGCCCTCTCTTAGGTGCTGCCTTGGTCACACGGCACTGAAACATTATAAAGGAAATTGCATCACGAACCCCTCCACTCGGCCGCACGGTCCTTCTTCCCCTTCCTGGGCCAGAATCCCTGCACAACTCCCAAGACACTAGAGTGGAGCGTGAGTAAGGGCAGGCTCTGCCCCTGGGTGCACACTCCAGGCCCCGGGCAGCTATGGGAACTGTCAGCAAGCAGCGCAGGGAGTTCACATTTTACATCTCAGAGGCGACATAGCCTCAGATGGACTTCAACTAATCCTTCTGGGCATCATTTCTCATGCTCCCAGAGCCCTGACCCTGAGCCCAGCTACGATGCTCAGGCTTGGCACACACAGGGGCCACCTTGCCCACTTAGCATCTGTCCCCAAGGCCCCAAGACTTTCCCTTCCAAACAACATATCACACCTAACATCCATGTGCAGCTCCGACAGCTCAAGGACCAGGAGAAAACAGAGGAACAGGGAAGGAAAATGTCACATCACCGGTATAAAGCTCAAACGAACAAAAAAAGACATGCTTATTCCCAGAATTTGACTAGGTCTTTGGAATTCTGAGTCCCTGGAAATGTCACAAAGAAATGTGACAAAAGAGGTTTCCTACCTGTTTTTAAAAGTGGGGGGGGGGGCAGGGCATGAATAAATAAATGGTCATCGCAAAGTAGTTGCTGAAGCAAAGACAGATATGGGTTACGAGGCAAGTCCTGCAACAATTTGTCCCAGAGATCTGGTGGTTAGAAGGCCTAAGGCGAGTTAAGAGAAAGGCCAGTTACAGTTTTTAAAGGACTGCAACTCTTGAGAGGCTACTAGGGGGGGCACCCCCTTGTGAGGAACATGAAGCATAAATTTTAAAAGCTCTGGATACCTCCGCAAAAGGCAATTAAGACCTGTGTTTAGTTAGAGTGTGCAGTTCATTTCATATGTCTATACTTTATTCCCTACTAGCCAATCAAGCTCCTGGCTGGCATTCTGGAGATTCATTAAGCACCATATAAATACTCTAGGCCACACTGCCTCCAATGAAATGTTATAAGGAGCCTTTACCAATTACTAGGAAACAATTATGGACCAAGCAGTTGGATTAGCTGTCCTTAGCTCCTGCGATGAAACTGAAAAAGTCACCATTGTGGTAAGTAGACCAGACTCTGATAACATTCTTATGCTAAATGCAAAAAAAGGCACTATCATTCAAAGAATGCAAGATGACCAAAGTTTTAGTCAGTTGAGTATACTACTATGTCATGGCCCAAGAATGTGCTTTTAATTGTAATTGACACACACAAATTACACAGTTAATCTGCGTGAGTGCAAAGTTGCCAAGAAACTCAACATTTTAGCTCTTTCAGACTGGCGTCTGCAGAGATGCAATCACACAAAGTAAAATATATTAAGTCCCCATTGCTCAATGCAATAGGTCTCTGGGGTCGGTAAAGTAAGTAGACTTGGTAAATCTCATTTTCCTCTGAATTAAGTGATTGTCAGAAAGTGAATCACCCTTCCCCCCTTAATTAGGCAGGCTGCAGTGCAAAAATTCCTATAAAAATGCCTATTTTGAATCATTAATGTACAATGAAGAAAACAGCAGCAGCCTAGAAGGGAGATGTTGAAATTTGAGAGGAAGCGAGAAGAAAAATCCACTGGATACCTTACATGTGTTTGTACAGTACTTCTGTTTGTTCAAACAATTCTGTTTTATGATCAAGGCACTGAAAGATTCTGACACCACCTCTTGGGAGAGCAATCCGCAAAGTTCTAAACAGCAGACAGTGCACCACGGAAAATGTTTATGTTAGATCAGCCAAACTATAAAACTCTTGTTACGCTTCTCTGAACCCAGCATTTCCAGTGTTTATAGATTGCTTTGCTATCTGAAAGACCCAGTCAGTATTTAAAATTTTTAAAGTGTTAAAAAAAAGTGAATCTTTCTCCTTGTGAGTTACCTACTCACAGCTCAAATCCCACCTGCAGAGAAAAGCAGCCACCACCTTGGACCACCTGGAATCTAGGCGGGACCTCCACGCTCCAAGCTGCGACCTGCTAAAGTGATCAATGTTTTGATTTTTCACAGCTTTGAAAGCCTCTAACTGGCTTTTCCATTTTGGATCAGTCCAAAGTCTGCAGCAAAATCGTTAGATTTATGATGCTGAGCATAGGGTGGGGGAGTGGAGGTGGGTTATGGGGGTCCCTTAAGTGTTGCTAGTTTGTTCAAACTGAGACTCACTGCACGAAACTTTTAGTAGCTTTTGCACTGAAAATGCTGGCATTCCCCCCTTCAAAATTTGAGAATCGTGGAGGCCCCTGGCTAGCCTTATACCACAGTTTCATTGCCTTTGCTGGGCTTCATCCAACCATTCCCTCTCTTTTCTCTCTTCACCTTCCCCGAGTTCACCAATCTGTTGGAACACTTCTGCCACGTGTGAAGAGTTTTGGCGGACCAAATCCACATGCCTGAAGTGATGCCCACCAGCAGAGACATAAAAATTTTCAACATCTCAACCGCCATGTTGGAGTCATCTGCAGAATACTGGAAGAGCGCCCAGTTAGAGATTTCATAGAAATAACAGGCAATCACACAGGTTGCAGGAACCGTGTACAGGACTGAGAAGACCCCAATCTTGACCATCAGCCTTTCCAGTTTATCTGTCTTTGTCCCATCCTTTTGAAGATTGGACCGAATTTTGAACAAGGCCACCAAACCCGCAGCAATGAACAGAGTTCCAATCACCAAGTAAGTGAAGAGCGGAGCTACCACAAAGCCAGTGAGGGCATCCAGGTTCTGGTTGCCGACATAGCACAGGCCGGTCAGCTCATCTGCATCCACCAGTCTCATAATCAAGATGACAATGGTTTTCACTGCGGGGATGGCCCAGGCTGCAATGTGGAAATAAGAGCTGTGCATTTCAATGGCTTCATGACCCCACTTGAGTCCCGCTGCCAAAAACCACGTGAGTGTCAGAATGACCCACCAGATGGAACTGGCCATTCCAAAAAAGTACATCAGCAAGAAAATGATTGCACATCCTGTGTTCTTAAGTCCTTCTTGGATGAGAACAGGTTCTGCTGCCTCTTCAAAATCGCAGGATATCCTTTCCCGGCCTACAGTCAGCCTGACAATATAAGCAATGCTATAAATATTATAGCACATACTGAGGAATATGATGGGGCGCTCGGGGTAGGAAAACCTGGAAGAATCGATCAGGAAGGTCAGCACGGTGAAGGCGGTGGAGATGAAGCACAAGCTGGCCCACACGGCCATCCAGATGTCGGTGAACTCCTTGGCCGAGCGGCTGTGAAGGCCAGCATCGTAGCCACACTTGAGCACGCAGTTCAGGCTCCTCTTCACCCAGATGTACTGATCGGAGTTGGTTCCCACGGCATGGCACTCCTCCCCAGGCTGCATGGGGGTTTTGTGAGGTAATGGCATCTCCTCATCACCGGGCCCTTCCATGCACATGTGGTTGTGGTCATTCTGTGGTGGGAATTTGCTGCAGTTCAGGCTCTCTGGCCAGGCAAATCCAAATTCCTTCAGGACAGGTTCACAGCGTCTCTTGACTGAAAGACACATGCCACCACACGGGCCGATGGGGATGTTGATCTTCTCTGTGCACATTGGCACATAAACCGAACAAAGGAAGAACTGGAAAAGTAATGAAATGAACAAAGAAAACAATGACTTGGAAGTTTGGCCAAAGCTTTGCACAAAGCTGAGTTGAATGCTTCCAGGCTAAGTACGTTATCTACTTTTAAACCAGCCTATAGGGAGTCAGCTGTTTACTCTGACCTCAGACGAGGGTGCTTAATAATCCATCACTTACACACTTTTTTTTCTTTTGGTTTTACTAATCCTTTCCAGGAGAATATAAATAAATAGACATATAAAAAGGACCTGAAGAATTACATAATCTCTTTTTATACAACACTTAAGGAAATAAACCTTAAAACATTGACTTGGAGACCCCCTCTCCCTTTCAGCTACACTTTTGAAAGAGCTGAAGAGACTACTCAAATGACTTGGTCATTTTGGTGATGGGGTGATTTATTTTTATCCCCATAAAAATAAATGTAAAAAAAAATAGGTAGGTCCAGCTTTTCTCCTGTTCATATTCTTCCTTTCCTCTACTTTATCCCCTAAAATTATTTTTTCATCAGTCCCATATTAAAACAGAAAACGTCCTAATTGAGACACTGTTAGACCCGAGGATGGGATGCGGATTGAGGTCTCTTGGTCTCCAGGGGTTTGGTTAGTCAGGTTTCCTAATAATGAGGCACAATAGGAAAATATAGATGTTACGTCCTTGAAACTGCAATACCAGCAGGGGAGAGTCCAGTTGCTGTCCTCAATTCCTCCAGCATTGATAAACAGTCTGCTTGGCTCCTTACAGATGTTGTCTATGAAGTCTAGAGTTACAAGTAACTATTTTCCAGCATGTAAAGGGATCCAGTCCTGCCCTTCAAAACAGCTTGGCTGCTTCCCCAGGATACATGTAATTAAAAATATATATCCCTGCAAAAGCTGTTTCTCCAACAAAATTGCCACTGATGTCAGGATATGTGCTGTTTCCAAACTGAGAGCTAAAGGATCATTCCTTAAGCTTTTATAACCTAGTTCTAAAGTTCTGAAATTTCCAAAGGGACATTTCACCAGCAACAGGTCTAATCCCAACCATCTTTCTGAAACCACAATCCAACTTCTTAAATGACCTATGTAAAAACATGCTCTTACTAGGGAAGCTGCTTGCCTGTTTCTTATCTCTCAAAAGTTAACAACCAGAACTATGGATTTCTGGAGACTTTAGCTTGGATGACTCTATTTCCTCCCAACTTCTCTTTTCTACATTTCTAACAATCACTCAAAGCCTCACCAACATAAAAACACAACCAGTACTAACACTTTTTAAAATTTCCTTTCAGCTCCTTTTTTCCCCAATCATGGGCTTGTTGTTTGTGTAAGATTATAATCACCCTGCATATGCAAATTATTGTTATTGTTGTAGGATGAACATTTTCCATATCATTACATAAGCTTTAAAATTTTTAGTAATTGAAAAAGAAAAGAAGAAGAAAAAATTATCTTCCAATATACAAAGTTCCTTCCTGGAGCTTGATCATACCATTACCTTTTTTTCTCTCCATGCAAGTACTAAACTTAACCCTCAACCCTGAGGATAAGAACGAACTCAAGCCAACCCCACCATTCCTTCCTGTGACCTCTAAAATCAAGCGGGAAGACGGGAGGAGGGGCCATTCCGCAGAAAACGGGGCAGTGGCAATTCATTTACTAACCCATCCAAAAATATGGGGGAGAAAGGAGGTCGGTGAGGGAGGAGAAGGTCCCGTTTCCTTATCTCTCCTTCCAAGTCTTAGCTGCAGCTGGCTGCCCTGCCGGGGACTCGCCCACCGAGCTCCGGCAGCCAGAATCCTTGGCAAAGATAACCCTCAGCGCCACTGGGGTTAGGGGCTTGGCCAGACACGGGTGGGCAAGGGAGAAAAACGGAAGGGCGGGGTGTAAGAGTGGGTTCTTTCGCAGGCCAGATGACTTACACAACGTTTTGGCTTCCAGTCCCTGAGAAGGGACAGAAAAGTGGGGGTAGGGATAGAAATCACTTCTCCAGGATGGTTATACCCTTCAGCCTAGGAAGGGGGCAGGGGGCCCGACTTGGAGTTAGTTTGGGGAGTTTCTGCCCAAGGGGTCCCGCCAGGGTTGGGTGGGGGCGCCCACCTGCAGCTGGCTGGAGCAGCCGTACTGGATGAGCGGCGTGAAAGTTGTCAGCTGCAGCTCGGCGTCCGTCTGCAGCTCGTGCCCCACAAGGTTGGGCATCTTGGTCACGTTGTAACCCAGGTTCTGGCACATGGAGATGCGGATGGGGTCGCAGCGCCTCTCTTCCTCGTCCCCGAAGCCCCGCACCGGCCCCAGGAGCAGTAGTGATAGCAACAGCGGCCGCAGGCTGAGACCTGCGCCCCTGGGCGCCCCCAGGACGCCCGGCCCTGCGCCCCACCAGGCCATGGCCAGAGCCAGGGGCAGCAGCGGCGGCTGCTCCAGCAGACACCCCCAGTTTGTACAGGGGCGCCGGCTGCCCGCGCTGCTCCGGCTCCGGGAAAGGGAGCGTGATAAGGCGCCAAGGGCGAAGAGGGGGCAGCGGCCAGCAACCGGCAGCTGCGCGCGGCTGTGTGGGTATTATACGCCCCCGGCCGAGAACGCAGAACAGATTGTGAGGGTCATTGCTGCAGGCAGCGAGTCCCCTATCCGGCGCCGGCCGCGTTCGCTCGGCGTCTCCCCGAAGCCCGCCAGCACCCAGCGCCGCGCCGCTCTCGCCGCCCCAGCCCTGCACGGCGCTGGAGGTTCGCTGGGCGGTGGAGGGGCAGGACGGACAGCGCGCCTGCCCAATGACCGTGCGCCATGGGCAGCGGGGGCGGGGCCGGCCCGCCGCCCGAGGGTCAGCACCCGCCCGCCCGCCCCTCCCGCAGCCCTCCTCCCTCCCGGGGCGCCCCGCCCCACTTCCCGGCTCTCACTTTCCTCCCACCCGGATCGCGGAGCTGGGGGCCAGGCGGGGATGGGGCTGAGTAGCTCCGGCGGGGCCAGCCTGCCCCTCCTCTCCCAGGTGAGAAGAGCTCCTACTTCCCTTCCTTCTTCCAGCTGTCACCTCAGCCCGTGGCCACCTCCCCGTCAGGCAGGGAAACGCACACAAAGAACACGGGATTTGGATTTACAAAATTTGTGACTTTTAATCCCGGCTGTGTGACTTTGAGCAAATTGCACAACCTCTCGGCGTCGCTTTCCTCATGCGTAAAGGGACTTGGGAGGATTAGAGATAGTACGTAAAACGCTTAGCACGGTGCCTGGTACAGCGTGAGATCGCAGCTATTTTCACTCCTAACTTGCTGGGGTTGGAGCCCGGCCCCCTCTCCCCGCCCCCAGGCTCGGCCCGACCTGCGCCCCGGAGCTGCCTGTCTCCAGCCGCGAGTGGGGGAGGCGCCCCGGAGCAGCCTACCAGCCGACGGTCTCGCGCTCCGATTTCCTCACCGTATGAAATGAAATTCCACAGGGGGATTCGAAAGGAAATGAGACCGGGACGCTCCGTGCTTCTCGGCCCGCCGCCCTTCCTGTCTCGGGGACACGGTTTCTAAATAAGGTTGGGAGGGTGAGAGGGCGGTAGGGGAGAGGCTTGACCTGTGCACGCGGGGCGGAGAAGGCGCACAACCACCCGGGTCCTCCTCCCCCAGCTACCCGGGCATCCCTTCCCTGCGGACGGCATCTCTTTCCTAATTTGTTTTGCTTCTGCACAGGGTCCTGAGCATCTGAGTATCCTGCAACCCGTGTTTCGATCCAACTTTTCCCTCTCATTCCCAGCCCACCCACCACCCGTCGAGTGGAGCTTTGCGCTAGTCCACCCTCTGGGCTTTCCAGTCGGGCGGTGAAACCCTCAGCAGGTGGATGCCTAAACCATTCAGTTGTTGTTTGACTATGCCAAGCTACTGTGCCTCTCAGAGCCTCACGTTGGCCATCTGTAAACTAAGGAAGTTCACGTCTACCCCACACAGTTGTTCTAAGAGTTAAATGAGATACCGCCTGAAAATCATTTAGCACAGGTAAGGTTACTATTGTGGGATAGTCCTGCTTTCCAATCTGGTGCCCACAGCCTCTGGGTAAATAATTTTCTCTTCCTGAGATCTTTTGTCCAACACTTGCCACTGTTTTCCCGGGGCTTGGTGACAGAGACGAAGTTTTTACCCATTTCAGCCAAGTCCGTCATATGGCAGAGGCTGGATACAAAATTGGGAGGATGTCTGAACCACTCGTGTGGTGCTCGTATTCGGAATTACATTTTTAGTTTTCTTATACTGGCAACTAGCCTTGGCCAAGGGCAAGAATGAGATCAACTTTTTGGGTCTTTGGCTCTGTGCCTAGAACTGTGATGGACACATAGAAGCTGCATTGTCTCCAGGCATCATCATAACCTCCTAGGGAAGGAGGCTCCACTAGCCCTTAAAGACATGAAAAAACTGAGGCTAGAACCAAGGTATAGTTAGAAAATGAAAGAGCAACCAAAGGAGGCCTTTCAAAGATGGGGGAAAGACAGGGCAAGGTTATTTCTCCAGAAAAGCTCCCAGTTAGTAATCTACATACTCAGCAGTTGAAATGGATCTTCTGCATGGCTGTGCTGAGTAATGCATAAAGCCATTGGCCTATAGAGATGATTATTGATTAGATGAAAGAATCAAGTGAGTAGATGATCCCCACCCTCTAGGAATTCACAGGAGGAGGTAAAGAATAAACAGACGACTATAACTCAATGTGCTAAGTGCACAGAAAGAGAACTGTGGGCAGACTGAATGTAGAGGTAGCTGAGTCGGAAGGGCTGCTCAAAGGGGTTGACCTGCAGGGTTCTGGCTTTCCCAGCAAAATAAGAGTGCACAATTGGCATTTCTCCTAGGGCACGTGCAGGGAGGTGAGGGGCCTTGTTTTGTGCTAAAGATGTGTGTACATGGCTTATTAAACAATGAACTCCATGGGTCAGGAAGCAGGAGCTGTCCCTTGCGAAAGACCTGGCACACTGAGGGAGCACCACTGGTGTGGGATGAAGGGATGCCGTAATCAAATCAACAACAACTCATATAAAGCCCTTACTCTGTGCCATATATTATAACATATTTTACATGCATCCTCTGTTTCACACAACAGCTTGAGAAAATTTATGTGAGAAAACTTGGAGAGTTTAAGCGGTTTGCCCCAAGTCACACAGTAAGTGATAGAGAAGGACTCAGACACATGTCTGCCTAGCCCAAAAGTCTGTGCCTGGTCCTGCTCTCACAGAGGAACCTACTTGGCACTCAGCCTAATCCACAGGTAAAGATGAGCTGTGATCTGGACCTCTTCTTCCTAGGCCTGGCACCCCTGCCTCAGCTTGCCAGAAGCAACTGCCTCCTAGAACACTTCAAGAAGCCCCTTCTCTGTCAGAAGCTTTTCCTGTCAACAGCTTTTCTTTCCCAGCATGGAACTCATCACAGGTATTTTCCAAAAAAAGAAAGCCAGGGGAATCACATTTCAGTCTGAATGTGGAAAGGAAACAAAGACCACGACTTAGAGGTAAGTCTGAAGGGCCTGGAGCCCCTTGGCCTCCCCTGACAGAGTGGTTCACACGGTCGCCAATCTGCTCCTTGTGACAGGCAAGGCATGTTTTTGTTGCAGAAAACACTTCCCCGAGGGAGTTCCGGACAGAGGGCTACCCACCCTGTGACATGCAGAGCATGAAGGAGGAGAGTAGAAGATAGAGACTTGTGAATAGGACCTTCCAGTAACCTAAGGGGCAGGCCATGGGCCTCCAGTGGCTCTGGCCTAAGTGCCTGGGTGGCTTCCTCCATCCACTCTCAGTAGCAAAGATGCAGCCACTTTGGAGCTGCAACAAATATGACTTCAGGGGACTTTGGGGCAGCTGAAGGGCTCTCTGTTTGCATCTCATGAGAGGTTGGGTCCTAATTAACTCCTGTGATGTGTTAATTTTTCAACCTGATGTTTTTCTGCTCTAATAGATTCTTGTACTGGTTCCTAAATTAAAGGCTGCATTTGAAGACTAGTGTTTAGGTTGAAATCCACCACCTAAGGGGGTGGGGGGCCATAAACATCCTCCACTCCTAAGGAAAACCTCTCATTTGCAGTTCTTTGCTAACCCAATTAAGTGCTGAAGTAGTCACCCCAGAGCCTGCTTTTTATTTCCTGCAAAAGAATCCAACTAATCCATATTCAGTAGCTTCCAAGAAAAGTCTTATTACAACCACTCATGAAGAAAGCAGCTTCTTTGAATCTGGACAGAACATTTAGATCTCACAAAGCGTTTCTTGATAGAAAACGCAAGAAAGTGGTTCATTATCATCCTGCTCGGTTTTTGAGGGGAAAATTCACTGGGGCTAACACCTCATACAGATTAGGAATTTATTGTGGAAGACAAAAGCATCGGGGGAAGTCATGCCACACCCAATCCATTTATAGATCGTCTAGGTGCTGTATCTTCCCCTGCACCCAAACTAGTTATACAACAAAAATGTGTGCACGAAATAAAGCAGAAAGGAACAGTGATCTTGCTCAAAGTTGAGGAACCAAAGGCCCCAAGAGGTTCAGTACCAGCTCTGAAGTGGCAGAACCACACCCCCATCTTATCCATTACACCACGAGCCAGGAGAGAAGAATCAAGTCACACTGAACTCTTGCATGTCAAGGAATCAAAGCCTTGCTGTTCCTCCTACCAGGCATAGGATGTATGTAGGACATTCTTATTTGTTGGTAATGATGGTTTAACATATAGATGGGCAAACAAGAGCCTTTGCAGGAGACAGAAAATAATGTGTGCACACTTTGTATCTCCACAACCTCATTTCATTTCAGCATTTATCAGTCAAGCCATATTTAGTGAATGCAAATTTAGCTAAACAAATCTTGAGTGGTGGCACAGTGGACATGTCACTGAGCTGGGTTCTGGATGGTATGCAGGCATGTAAATCGTGCTCTGCACCTTCAAGGAGCTAACACTCAAACTGGAGGAGATTAAGACATGAGACCAAGAGTGAAACAAGCTCATTTATAGTGACATGCTTTTTCTTGAGCTCCCTTACTGCACTCTCTGAGTAGGAAAGATGCAGCCACTTTGGAGCTGCAACAAACAATAAGAAATTGCCAATAATTTATTTGTGTGTGTGTGTATGTGTGTGTGTGTTTATGGTTTCCTTCACAACCCCTTGAGGTGGGGGCTGTATCTTTTTCACCTTTTTGCTCCTGAACAGTAAGGAAGAGCACTACCTGACCCACAGAAAGCATTCAGTAGATAACTGTTGAATAAATAAGTGAATGATTCCAATTATAAGTGCTCTAATTCTTCAGGAAAAGAGACCCTTCCTTATGTGCTGGGTAGAAGTGACCATTAAAATACAACCTAACTGGTTCCAGAATGATGGTTGAGTCTATTCTTTAAAGCCACTGCTGTGAGAGAGCTTTCAGCTTTCTTTTGAATTCGGATGTTTTGCCAATCATTTATCTTCCTTCTTTATTTTACTGTGCTGATTCCTAATATTTTAAGGTAGAATAATGTCTTGGCTAAAGTTGTTTGATTTAGGAGCTTGTTTCTCTATTTCATGAATCTCCCCAACACACTTACTTATCACTGTTTATTGGCTAGTTGACCACTCATCTCACTATGTAGGACATTCTTATTTGTTGGTAATGATGGTTTAACATATAGATGGGCAAACAAGAGCCTTTGCAGGAGACAGAAAATAATGTGTGCACACTTTGTATCTCCACAACCTCATTTCATTTCAGCATTTATCAGTCAAGCCATATTTAGTGAATGCAAATTTAGCTAAACAAATCTTGAGTGGTGGCACAGTGGACATGTCACTGAGCTGGGTTCTGGATGGTATGCAGGCATGTAAATCGTGCTCTGCACCTTCAAGGAGCTAACACTCAAACTGGAGGAGATTAAGACATGAGACCAAGAGTGAAACAAGCTCATTTATAGTGACATGCTTTTTCTTGAGCTCCCTTACTGCACTCTCTGAGTAGGAAAGATGCAGCCACTTTGGAGCTGCAACAAACAATAAGAAATTGCCAATAATTTATTTGTGTGTGTGTGTATGTGTGTGTGTGTTTATGGTTTCCTTCACAACCCCTTGAGGTGGGGGCTGTATCTTTTTCACCTTTTTGCTCCTGAACAGTAAGGAAGAGCACTACCTGACCCACAGAAAGCATTCAGTAGATAACTGTTGAATAAATAAGTGAATGATTCCAATTATAAGTGCTCTAATTCTTCAGGAAAAGAGACCCTTCCTTATGTGCTGGGTAGAAGTGACCATTAAAATACAACCTAACTGGTTCCAGAATGATGGTTGAGTCTATTCTTTAAAGCCACTGCTGTGAGAGAGCTTTCAGCTTCCTTTTGAATTCGGATGTTTTGCCAATCATTTATCTTCCTTCTTTATTTTACTGTGCTGATTCCTAATATTTTAAGGTAGAATAATGTCTTGGCTAAAGTTGTTTGATTTAGGAGCTTGTTTCTCTATTTCATGAATCTCCCCAACACACTTACTTATCACTGTTTATTGGCTAGTTGACCACTCATCTCACTATTGTCAGTTGAAGCAATTAGGAATGCCACAAGATAGGTGGTAAACAGAGGTCTCCAGCCAAAGAGTTATATGTCAGGGAATCACCTGTAAGTAGTAAGTTTGTAGAAAAATTGAAATGTGAGCTTAGCTATGAGGGTTATATGAGGTATGCAGGTTTCCAAGGGACCTGGGGAAGCAAGGAAAGGAAGGGCCTGTAATAATATTCTCATAGGCAAAACTCTCATCAGTTGATACAGGTAAGAAATGAATAGGAATAAAAATGATGCTAAGTAATGACCAAAGGGTGAACTGGATACCCACTGTGGAGGGCATGAACTAGACTAGATGAAGTTCCAGGTGGTGGTTTTAAAACAGCCTCAAATTTTTCAACATTCTTCTCATTGACCAGCAGAGTTTATGTTCCCTTCTCTTAAATCTGGGAGGGCTTGTGACTTCTTCAACCAATAGAGTATGGTGTAAGTGTCCTTAGGTGACTTCCAAAGCTCTGTCACAAAACGCCATGCAGTTTCTACCTTATTTGCTGGGAAGTTCGCCCTGGAGCTCTGAGCAGCCTTAGAAGTAGTCCAACTACCTGAAGACTGCCATGCAAGTGAGGATACATGTAGGCATTCCAGCTGGTAGTCCCAGATGAGCTTGCCCTTCAGCCATTGCAGGCCAAGTCTGCAATGAGGATTCTGTGGCCCCAGCTGTTCCTACCCCTAGCTGTTTGAGTGATCCTAGGCCAGACATGGTGGGGCAAAGAAGAACTATCCTTGCCATGCCTTTTCTAAATTCCTGACACACAAAATCCATGATGGTTACTGTTTTATGCCTATCTTATTAGCCCATTTGGACTGCCACAAAAAATCACCACAGACTGGGGCAGCTTATAAACTGAAATACAGTTACAAACAGTAATTTATAAGCAGATAATTTTTAACCAGTCTGCATGCTGATAAGTCCAAGATCAAAGCACCAGCAGATTAAGTGTCTGGTAGGGACCCAGTTCCTGGTTCTCAGATGACTGTCTTTTTGTTGTGTCCTCCCATGATAGAAGGGATGAAGGAACACATCCCTTTTTTAGAAGGGCATTAATCCCATTCATGAGGGCTCTGCTCTTATCACCTAATCGTGTCCCGAAGCCTCCCTGGCCAAATACCAACACTGAGGATTAGGGTTTCAACACATGAATTTGGGGAGCTGGTGGGGACAAACATTCAGTGTATTGTAATGCTTATAGGTGTAGGTTGGTCTGTTACTCAGGACATGGAACCAGGACAGAATTAAGTAACAAGATAGCAAAGGGGATTGTGACTCAGCTAAAAAAAGAATGAATATCACCCAAAGATGGACAAAAGGACTTTAGATCCTCTCTTGGGGAGAAAGGTAGCATATTTTGCTATTGTCTTTACTTGAAAGTTAAATATTGTTAAAAGAAGTATTTATGAATGCCAAATTGACAAGGAGGGGACTCTGTCAGTTTAGCTACAGTGGAGCTGCTAGTGAAAGTGCAGCAGCATTTTAGGCTCTGGAAGTCAGTGCTGGGTGCCAGGCACAGTGGCAGCTCACGCATGCTGTCTCTAATCTGCTGACTCACCTGTTGGCATGGGGCAGCACTGGACCTGTGCGGTCTGCTCCTTCAGCTTCTCTGAGTCCTGGTCTGGGGTAGGGGTTGCTCCATGGCTAAGGGCTCTAGTCTCTGCAGGTAATCTGCATCATCAGGATTAGAGGTGGTTACAGACAGACATAGGATCTAGCCTGTCTCTGTGGGTTCCAGTTTGCCCTCAACTTTATAAACCTTGTGCCCTGCTTTCCTTCTTGATTGGAGGCCTGGCTGATCTAGAGTGACTTTGGGCCTAAAACCAGACACAGAGGCAAGGCCTTGCATAGAGTACCTCTCCAGCTTCCATAGTTTTGTAAGGTCTAATCCTTATTAAAAATGGTTTATTCTGCCTTACTCATAATGAATTCTCTAATCAAACTCTAACTGAT